GAGGCAGCACAGAGCCTGGCACAACTATTCCTGGTCCCTGAGTCAGAGCACAACCATCTTTGAAATAAATAAAACGAAGAAGGAGAACATCTCTGGGACTATATTTGACACTTGTATTCCCACACCACTTGGCTTTATATAAACATACCAATTGGTATGGTGGTTATTTTGACTCATCTGCTTAGCAATCATTTTATTTTAATCAATATTTATTTAACTCACCAGCTAGACAAAAGCTCCCTAATTTCTTCATCTGATTTAATTGATGTTCCCTGACAGAATGAAGCTAGACTGGATAAGACAGTACAAGCTGTGCCAGTCTTCTTTGGTTTGCATCTCTTTTAGCAAGTCCTGTGACTGTGGCAGAGCCAAGTTACATCTTACACCTCACAGAGGAATTGGGACCATACATGGCTGTACACCCCAGGACAAAGAGCCAAGAAACACGCCAAAACAATCAGAAATAATTAGCATATTGATTCTCCATGCAAATTACCTCTGCATACATTGTGAAACACTTTGCATTGTCAGAGGACTTCAGAGGAGCCTGGAGTTTCTTACAGACACCACAATAATTAAATATGTGTCTTCAGTTGTAACATTAAAATACAGTTCTGGGTGAAGGATCATAGAAAGAAACATGCATGTTGTGCAGATTAAAATGTATGGAATACGTCTACCTTGACACCCCTACCCCAAAACAGGCACCATGAATTATATTCCTGAAGGAGCTTTCAGACCAGGGATATTTCAGGCCTTCTTAGAAGAACATTTTGCTTTTCATTTGAAGGAAATGATCTGTACCTTGTGTCACCTCGACCTCATGCCAAGGGTGAGGAGTGGCTGCAAGTTGTAGGATTGAATCACAAAGCTCAATCTTAGCCCAGTACTCCACTTGCCTGGACAGAAAGGTTCACTTTAGCAAATGCTAAAACACACTGGCTTTCAGAGGAACTAATTTTTCAAGCTCAGTCACAAGTGTGGGGGCAAAATGAACTCTCCCATTTACATCAGTGGAGTCACACAGTAACTATGATCCTGAAGTCAACACGTGGAAAGCTTAAGTGAAGCAACCTGTAACTTGCTGCCCAGATTAGTTCATGCCCAGCTCTCTCTGCCAGCATTTGAAGTCTTTGTGAAATGCTAAAGTGTAAAGGGTAGCACCGTCTCTCAAGGCCAAAGTCAACTGATATTAGGAATGGGTACAGTGATTTTACAACCATTAACAGCATTAATGACCCTGTGAGCCAAGACAGAAAGCTGCCAGAAAGACCCAGAACTGCCTCTGCAAGGAGGAAAAATTGCCTTGCCTCTACAAGCACACTGCACTGTTGTAAATATCATGTAAATACCTCGACTGCAGGCTGAGAGGGCAGAGCTGTCTGCAGTGACAGAGACAGATCCCATCCAGAGACAAATGTGACACCATGAAGCACCCACCAGGACAGCTAGATTTGAATGTAGGTCGAGATACATCAGAGCAGGGTGGTGAGTCCTACAAAGGGAGCTGCTTCACCACTGCAAAGTTTTAGGAGCAGGTCACCACCCTCTAATGGAGAGTCCTGGGGTTCATTGAGAAGACCAGAGCTCAGAGATGGTGCCCTTCCCTTTCCCTCTGGCCATGCCCTTTGTGTGCTCCTCACCTGTGCTGCCACATGCCCACACTACCACAGCCTCTGGATGGAAAAATTCCAGCTGCCAGCACATTCAAGTGCTTCAGGTGAGGCTTTGAAGGGGAGCTTGGAAAAGGTCGTGGAAAGACCCAGACCCCACTCCTGAGGGCTCCAGGCAGCAGGAGACAAATGAATACATCTCATCTTCTCCAAAGGCACTCAGGCCAGCTCAAGATTTGTTCAAGCTTGGTTTTCTACACAAGCAAGTGGTACAAGGTCAGTCACTCCTACAGCAGCTCTTGGAACCATTGCCTGTTCTTGGTCAAGCACGGCAGGACTGAGGATCTCTGCAATCACCCAGTTCCTGAGAGTTTTCCTGCAAATGCTGCCCTTTCCTGGTCTGCACAGGAAGGCATGACCAGAGCAGTTAGGGACGCTGGCAGAGGACATGGAAGTGCACATGGATTCACTGGTGTCTGCTCCCCACAGCAGAGGAGCAACTGAATGCAGCTGGAATCAAGGGACATGCCTGCTCCAAGGCCAAATCCTGGCTCCCAAGCCCAGATCCTGGCTCCCAAGCCCAGATCCCGGCTTCCAAGCTTCCAAGCCTGCACCCCCCAGCCCTGGGGGTTGAGTGGCACCATTTGAAATAGCTTTCAGTCTGGTCCAAGTTCAGTCCAGCCCCTCCACTCTGTGCCCCAACAAGTCCTGGCTGTCAGCAAAAGCTGCCATCCTTGAAAACTGCCTGTAATTGCAGGCTTTCTGGGCTCAGAGGGAAAGGGGAGGGACTGGATAAAAAACCACCTTGGGTCTCTGAAACACAGACGCCATGTCAGAGTCAGTTCAATAGCCTGTCATGGACTCAATAAAAGATTAACCAAATCATCCACAATGAAAGCAAATTTGGCATCCTTGTCCCTGGGCTGGTGACAATGCAGAATACTCACATGCAGGTTCTTGCAATTGATGCTATTATTTGGGAAAGGCTTCAAGTACTGTCCTGTGGGGGGTGATAAAAAAACACCTCAAACCCAAAAGGATGCATTGGCAGAATAGTGATAGAAATTTGCACTTTTCCTGCCTATGAACAATAATTCATGCAGTTAGTGCTTTATCAGAAATAATTTAACCCAGTTTTTCATTTAAACTACAGGAAAGCAAGTTCAAATAGGTTTCTCTAACATGAAGGACATCTTTTAACCCAACTTTTGCTCCTGTTCACCCCACCCCCACCCAATGCTATTAAATGGCTTGAAACATAACACAAAAATACGTGTCTTATCATATCAGTTGGCTTCTCTTACTATAGCAGCCCTTATCAACATTCAGCAGCCCTATTAATGCAGTCCCCTTCAATCAGCATGAAAAAGTAGGGCTCCACAGATCTCTGATCCACCCCTCCCAGTATCATAGGCCCTTCCTGGATGCCAATTAAAGAGCAGGAGCTCTTTTAATGCCAGCAGTTTGCTCCTTTACATCTGGCCTGCATGCCCATGGTCCCCAGCTTGGTCCACAGCAGCTCCCTGAGCTGCCAGCCTCACATGAAGCTGTCCTTCCCTGGATGCAGCTGCTGGAGCCCTGTCCCTGTGTCTGTCCCACTGGGCTCCTTCCAGTGGCAAGGCTGGGAGAGCCCTGTGCTTCTGCCCTTTGTCCAGCACACACCTTTAGGGGAAGGTTTACCTGTCTATTACATGTATTGCACTGCTAAATGCAAACTTCTCTTAAAATATATCATAGATTTGCCTTAATCCTACACTACATTCTTGAGAGATGTGACGGACTAAAATGCTAGAAAACCATTCCTCCATGAACTGCCAGGATTTTTGTAGATAAGAACTGTGGAGACCCAAACCTACAGAGACTACTGCAAGAAGCAGAGCTTCAGAAGTCAAACTGTTCAGGAACTGGGAAGTGGACAGCCTCAATGGGCACTAAATTTGAGTTTGAGTAAATTTGAGTGGAATTAAATCCTACTTACAAACCAGAGAAACCCAGACTTTGGCATCTATACCTCTGTTCCTTTTAGTAGCAGCATGTTTACCATGTTGTAGTCCTCATGGGATATATTGGCAAGCCCTTTACTAACATTTTCCCTTGGGTTATTTTCATTTCATGGGCGGTTGAATTTAATTTAAGATGCCCAAAAAACTACAAAATAATGTAAAAAAGTGTTTTCAAAATTGTTTGCATCTCTCCTATTCTCCCCCATGGAACTGGGGTGTCCTTGAGATATTATCCTGGACCTTGGCCAACAGACTGAGAAATAGGATTGGCAAAAACAGAGGAAGGATGTTGCAACACACGAGCTGAATCTTTTCCCTTGTGGTTTTGAGTTTGGTCTGTCCAGAGAGGTTGGCAGGAGGTGAAGGGGACAACCTCTCCATTTTTGCTCCACGTGAAGGCAGGTTTGCCAGGAGGAAGCCTGTTTTCTGCAAATGCCTCTTGGGCAGAGTTTGCACCAGGCTTGAGAGGTTACTTAGGGTCCACAGGACACCCCAGGGCTGTGTTTTTCCCCTGAGGCTTCATGGCCCTCTTTCAGGGCATGCAGGTCAGGTAGGGAGACACAATCTCTGCAGACAGCTTGTGTTGCAAGACAGAAACTGCAATGCATGGTTGCTAGCTATGAAAAACTATCCAGGGAGAAGGTTTCTCTCTTACGAAATGCCCCTCCTGATCACCCTGCAGAAATCATCCTTGTCCTTGCTGGTGCTGCCATCCCTCAGCTTTTCAGTTCTACCTTTGACTTCCTTACAAGCTTTTAAGAATGTCTCCACACGAGGCTGCTGAGCAGTGCCAGCTTTGCTGCCTTTCCTAAAATGTGCACTTTCAGTGAGAGGAAAAGAAACCCCAACACCCATCTCAGCTTCATAGGACTGGTGCAAATGGTTTAAGTTTACTGACGCTTGTCAGATAGAAGTCTAGCTAATCTAAGGTCAAATTCTATAGCTAGAGTGTTAGTTTATTATTCTAGTGCACTGTTTGGTGGTGTTATTGACACATAAAATAATGAAATGAATGGTGGAATGATTTTCCCTTCAAGTATTTAGTCATGTGCAAAAAAGCAGAGAAGTTTGTACTTACCTGACCATTTTGTGTCTCTATTTCCGACATCTTTCTCCAGTGTCTGGAGAATTATTACACACAGGAAAGAATCATTCCACAGTTAAATAAAAGTACATGTGCTTTTTGTAGGAAAGGAGAAAAAGGTATTTTTATATTGCCTTTAAGAACTGTTACCCTTGTAGGAATGGACTAAATTTGAACCAGTCACCTAAAACCCAAACACAAGTATTGCCAAATCTATGCCCTTTTTCTAGACTTCTAGTTTGCATTAGGTTGAACAAGAAAACAATTTCTTAATGTTCTTAACATTAACCTTCCCCCCCCCTTGTACAACTGCAATTCAAAAGGTGTAAATTGTTAACATTTATAGAGAGACACTTATTTAGCTGTTAATCTAGGTAATCATAGGTAATCTCAGTGCCCTCTATGTGAAACTCTTCTGTTTCTTACCATCTGCACACATCGTCATCATCAGGGCAATAAGTGGTGATAAAGAAAACTGTAAGAGAAAAGTTCTTTCAGGACTTTTGGCTTTGATGTTTATGAGGCACTGTATCTGTCACATGAGCATTCAGTCCACAGAACTTCGTATTTATGTGAGGTGAACAGCATTTTCTTGAGGAAAAGGAACAAACCCCTCTTGCCAGTCAATTTATTAGGGTTGTTTTTTGTCATTGTTTTGATGGAGTGATTTAGGCATGACTGGGGAGCAGGCTCTTCAGGAGCCGTGGATTGCACAACACACAAACAGCTTGATAGTGTCATTACCACACCTCTGTTTTTTTAAATACACTTCCTCCTGCTTTTAGGTTGGGTCCAGTTATTCATAGGGAACACCTGGCTCTGCACAAGGAAGCACTAAATCCTTTGCCTTCAAAGCACACAGACAGCAAGGAAGGTCAAGTATTACTCAGGGATTTCTCACCAGATCTTCTGATCAGATCTCTTATTTTCTCAGTAAAATGCAGCACATCATTTTTGCACGTTCAGCTCTGAAGCTCTTGATTAAACCAGTGAAGCTAAACCACCTCCCTGAATGTCACTAAAACAGGGAAACACAAAAATCAGCATTTAAATGTACCATTGAGCAACTAATCCCACTTAATCCCAGCAGCCCCTGAAAGTCCCTTAGGGCACAGGACGGCAGGGACCAGCCATGTCCCACTGCCATGGATCATGCCAACAGCTTCAAGGCCAGGAATGGCACCTCCTCACCTGGGGACACAGGGTCTGCAGTCCCACAGCATAGCAGGAGTCCTCAGCAGCCCACCATGGGACCAGGAGTGCAGTCAGCCAGAGGGAAGTTCACGTTTGCTTGTTTGCTCATTCTCCCCAGAGACCCTGAGTCACCCACCCCCAAAGCAGCAACACCAGCACAAGGGAGCAAGAGACTAATTTATCATTATTTGGGAAGAACTGCTCTAGTTTTACTCATAGGTAAGGGCAGTTGTAGAGGAAAGAGCAGCAAGGACAAGGCCAGAGCCCTGGCAGGTTTCTCCCCCAGGTCTGTGCCCTGGGCAGGGCGGGCAGATAGGATCTGCAGCACCATAAATCACCTCCCAGCAAAGGGAGAGGAGAAACAGATTGTGAAATGAACTGTAAAATAAACTTCTAATGTAAACATCACACAGGCAGGGGGTTGTTTTCTCTGTCTGGGAGCCCAAGTCTGGTACAGTTTACTGGCTGGCTGTGCTGGGCCCTTGTTTGGTGAGGTTACTGCTGGGCATGGAGGCAGCCATCACTCATCACAGCCATCCTGTTTGCCAGCAGGACAGGAGGCTGCTGCTGCCATGAGCATCTTCTTCTCCTTTGGCATAATTTGCTTGCTCAGATACCGGAACATCGCCCACTTTTGGCATTATGGACTGTCTGGATCCTCCTGTCCCAGAAAGACACCCTCCCAGACACCTGCCTTGGTGGCCTGGCAACAGTGACCCGGGACACCCCAAAAGGTTTCAGGCTGCATCTTTCACCAGGGCCTGGGTTTTCTGATAAACTGGTGCTCACCCAAAGCTGCCTCTCCCTGACATGTCCCTGCCCACTCAGTCCTGTTGCTCACAGTCAGTGGGGCTTTGCTGCTTGCACCTTTTCCTGGTCTGGCCCATTGTCCCTGCCAGGAGGGCCAACCCATGCCCTCAGCAGGGAAAGCAGGCCACCTCTGAAACAAACCTGACCCACTGCAGGAATATCTATATTTTCACCTGTATTTATACTTCTGGTCCAGAAGGAGTCAGACTCCATGATGCTGAAGGGTGCCTTCCAGCTCAGCAGGTTCTGTGATTCCATGACTGGGCTACATCAACACCTCCCTGGGGTCGGGGGCACACCTTGCCTTGTGTCAGCACAGTGGGACAACATTGCTCAGTACCTGCTACAGTCAAAGCAGTAGAAAAGATAACAGTTTGCTACTGTACATAGAGACCCGTGCCTCAGGTAGGAAAGGACAGAAGCCTCTGTGCTTTTTAAAATTTTTTTGTCTTGCTTTAAAGCCGCTTTAAGGGAAGTCATAGGAGCGTGAGGTTAGAAGCGACCTCAGGAGATTGTCCTCCTGCTCTGAGGCAGGGCCTTGGAAAATCCAGGCAAACATTTTGTTCCCAAAAAACACCCTTAATGAAGAAAAGTCCACACCTCTAGGAAATGTGTTAATTATCTTCATAGCTAAGAGAACATAACCTAAATTTCCTGTAGATGAAACATGGCTGTGTCCTCTCCTTAGTGGGTATGAAGGGTGGGGGGTTTTAAGTAATTTTCTTCATGAAGTAATGAAGAAATTACTTAAAAAATAAAAAGGTATTTTGTGTCCCCTCTCAACTTGTTCTAACACATAACATCAGCCTTCTCCCATTGGTCCCCATTCCCACTGCCCCTGCTCATTCTTGGTCCTCTTCAGCCTGGCTTAAACATCTGAGGAGGCCCCAGTGCCACAATTCTAGAGCAGGTGCTCAGACAGCTTCTACTTCCTTACTGCCCACAACACCTTTTTTCCAGGGCTGCTGCTTGTGCCCCTCTTGGCATTTGGTAGCTGGTCTCTTTCCTCTTTTGTCTGCTGAACCTCACCTGGCTGATTTTCCCTCCCAGTTCCTCATGCTGGCCCGTGGTGGCCATCCCCATTCTGCACCTGGGCATTGCTGGGTGCTGGGCAGTCTCCTCCAGCTGCTGGGTGCCTGACCTGCACCAGCACTCGGAGGCTGCTGCCAACTTTTGGGTTTCCAGGGCTCCACAGCCATGGCATCCAGCCAAGGCTGGGTGGGGCAGGTGGCAGGAGGACCAGGGGGACAAGTGTGGAACAAGATTAGGCTCATAGGAGGAGGATAGAAGGGACAGTTGGGAGGAGAGACAGCACACAAGTCCTGCTTTTAGAAATGCACACAAGCAAGCCAGTAGTTATTGAAATGTCTTGGTGAAAAAGCAGTTGCTATCTCCAAATTCCTCTTCTCTGGTCAAGAACCTGTGGTTTTTCTGCCAGGTGGAAGGTAGAGGGGCTGAAAACTGTCAATTGGCCAAAAAGTTTGTGGGACACAGTGAAGAAATCCTCAGAATGTAGGGACTGGTCATTGTTTCCCAGCATGAGAGTCTGCATCCCAAAATGGCCAACCCAAAATTTGGGAGTAACTGCTTAAACACAAAGTACTTCAACAGTTTGTCATAATTCAGGTTTCAGATAAGAGGGGTCAGAACTATGTAATTCTGCTCCATCTCTTTCTTCAAACATTTCTTTTGTCAGGCTCTTATTAGTATCTCATGTTTCAGGTGCCAGATTCAGCCCACATCTTACATCTCTAGCACAGATTTATCCTGATACTCTGGCACATGGGTCATGTCTGAGACAAGGCTAGAGCAAAAAGAAATGTGTGTGACCTCTGAGTGTGTGTGTGTGTGTGTGTGCAGATCTTAGACAAGTCACCTTTCAGTGGTCTTTCCTCAACCATGAGCTCACCTGATCTGCCCAGATGGTAAATTTGACCTTTAAGTTAGTCTTGAAATGCTGAACATGTGCCTAGAGAGGGCTGTCAGTTATTGAGGAAAAGAAACAGGTAAGCCTTTTGTTAGCTTATGGATGAGGTGATCAGCATGAAATTCTGATAACCTTCAGCTGGAAAAGTTTGCAGATTCTTGACTCACTGAAATAGAGAGAATCTAAGTTTTTCAATCTTATTTTGCAGATTATGGCCCAGGGAAGCATTGCAGGTCACACCTGCCAGCACTGCTGGAGAGCAGACACCACTGTCAACTCTGCAGCTGGTTGTTCAGGGCTGCACCTGAACTGTACAAAGTTTTTCACAATATTCATTTCTCACAGAAAAACTTGGCAGAGCATGAACAAAGAGAGACACTTCCTAAAAGAACAAGGCATTCATTTCTTTGCCATTTATTTGTCTGCAGGAGTTTGCTCTGAAGTGTTGGGCTGGTGTCCCTTTGAGCTGCCATGCCTGGTAAGAGGCCCACAGACCATTTGTACTCTCAGCTCTACCTCTCCTTACCTTAGCAGACCTGTGAATACAGCCACCAGACCACACTGGCTGCAAACTTTACTATTCCAAGTGAAGCAATGTTCAGGGTTTAGCCTGAGTTAGGAAAGGGTGGCTTATGCAGATAGAGCAGCAAACTTTGTCTTCAGACTCAGGTGTAACTTGAAGCAGCAAAACAAGGAATGTTTCTTCCTAGTGTAGCAGGAATGGTGTAACTTGTGCTGGCAATGAGTTCTTACCAGGTAACTGTGATACCTGGGCTAGGTATCACAGCTTTGCTTAAATCAAAGCCGCAAAAAAAAAAAAAAAAAAAATCATGTCCACAACATACATAATTGACCCAACAAACATTTCAACAATGGGCCTGAGAAAAACAGAGAATGTAAAAAAGTCACAGAATGAAAAAAAGGAGAAAAAAAGATTAAAAAAAATTTATTTCCAAAAAAGATTCATGAGGATTTCAAAGATAGGAAGATCATTGCTGACAGCAACGAAAATCACTGGTGACTTTAGATATGGATTGAAGAATGACTAAAGGGAATGAAAAAGTGGCTCAGATGCCCCCATGGCATTGTATAATTTAAAGAGTAGCATTTTATGAAACCCTTTCCACTTGCCACTTTGCTTTTCGCTCCCATGTGCTCACATCTCTTGACATTTTCTCTGCACCCAAGGAGAAGCCCCCTTGGATGCATGGTCCATGAGATCTGTAAGGTGGGAGCTGCCCACCCCTCTGCTCCTTAAACATCCCTTTTTGGGGGAAAACCAAACCTTGAGAGTCTCCTGCTAACAGCAACATCATCTTGTCATCCCAGAGGCCCTTTCTTAATAAGGGAACAAAGCTTTGGCAAGGGAAGGTGAAGAGATTGTGGAAAAGCAGAGATGTTCTGGTAGGAGATTTAAGAGGCTGGAAATGCAGCCATGTCCCCCAGGACCCAGCAATTCAGGGCACCTTCTGCAGGCAACTTCTCACCTTGACATCCTCTGGTGAAAAACTGAGTGAAATGGGCTCACCCTGAAGTGCTTGTTATGGGTGAGGAGAAGGGAAGAGAGGCTCTGCATTTGTGTTACTCCAGGGGAACTTCCCCCATGACCTCTCCTGTCTGTGTAACTTGGTTGGTGCTGGCCCTGTGGTGACAGCCACCGCAGCCAGACTGCAGAGCAAACACATTCCACTGCACATCCCCTCCACATCCACATCCATGCCTGACCGCCCCTCTGATACCTTCTCCAGAAGCTTCAGAGAAGACACCCAAAGGTAGCTGCCTTCCTCAGGAAGAGACTGGGATCCAGCTCTGAAAGCCACTATAATTTTATAACTGCTATGGCAGAGCAGAATTTTAACTTCAGTTGTGGCTTTTCCATGGGAGTCTGCTAGGCTGAGTGACAGTGCATGGCAAGAACTTCTGTATAAATGAGGCAGCCTTGCCATAAATTCTGACTAACAGATGCACACTGAGGTTGATAACACAATTTGATATTGCAAATATGACTCTCCAGAGAAGTGTGAATGACAATGGGTTTAATTTAATGAGTAAAAGGACTTTGTTTTTTTATTGTATGTCTTTTATGAATTGCTTTATTGTTTGCTAAGCAGTAACTTTTCTCCAGGACACTCATCCATGAATTAGTTAATGGTGCACAAGCCTGGTTAACCTTAAGTAAGAGAAGCCTGAGAGATTTAAGATAAAAATGCTGGTGAAGTATGAATTTTCTTCTGGAACAACAAATCCAAGACAAACACTAGGCTAGTCATTCACAGCAGAGGCTTGGAATGGCTGGACCTCTCCCTCCTGGAGGGGAAGGTGTCAGGAGCAGCTTCCTCTGCTGCTCTCCAGGGTCACCTCTGAGGTGACTCTGCCAATGCACACATTTTTTCCACCTTTTGCATTGGAGGTCAGAGGTAGAGTACACCTGTATTTCTCAACTAGCACTTTCTAACCAATGCCATTCTTTTCCAAGGTGGCTGGGAACAGCAGAAGGAACCATGCAGCAGGTGAATCTTAGAGAGGTTATCACACACCAGAGCAAGGTGCTGGCACCTGCTGTGTTTGCTCCCAGTGATGTCCTTCCCATCCTCCTGCACTGGACCTTGCTGCACCAGCCATGGGATAATTCAGGGTTTACAGTGGCCCTCAGAGCATGAGGTAGAGCCAAAGTCTGACATTCTGTGGTGCCAAGGTCCACAGGTGCCAGCAGCAGCCTCAATGCCCATTGCAGAGAGTGCTGCTGGATGGCAGATCCCAAGGAAAGGCAACATGTGGGAATTGCTCTGTGCTTTAAATTTCAGCAAAAACAAAGTTTTGGGGTATTGCCTCAAAAAAATGAAAATTGAGGGAAAAGACTCCTGATCAGCATTATATTTGTCTTGGAAGTTGGAAATATTTTTATGAGATGTCGTATTTCTACAGTTTTCCCCCCATTTCACCATGTCACTCATAGGACAAAGGCATCTTTAAACCTGCATGGCATAATGTAACATTAAAAGAATGTTACAACAGTTAACCTCATTTATGCCAGCTGCTCCTACTGAATTGGGACATTTTATCTCATTTTCTAGATTAAATCAGGTCCTTGGTATGTCATCAAACCATCAAAAAATAAAAGCAGGAGATGCTTTGTTCTAGCAAGTAAATGTTTTGACATATGCAAAACTGCTCATGTCATGAGTATGCAAAGAAAATCCAGGTTCAAAAATAAAAATTCCCATCTGGAGATTCTGAATTTTGTCAGACAATTCCAAAGTTTCTCAAAGATTTAAATCACAGTAAAAAAAAAAATTAAAAGCTTACTTGTTTTTTGGTTTGTTTTCTATGCTTTGTACTTATGTGATAAATGCATTTTCATTTAAAAAAAATCCACAGGCAGACCCAGTGGGAAAAAAAGCTCTGTGGGCTGGGTTGGGCAAAGAGAGATGCCATGAAACAGCCCAGAAGCTGCTGGCAGTGGGATGAGTGTGTGTACCAGCAAGAGCAGTATCTACTCCATCTGGCTTGGGCTCCACTTCACCCAGGAAGACTTCCTTTTGAAGGGGGAGATTCCAGCCATGATGGCTCCAGCCAGTAAAAGAGGTAGCCTCCCAGATTTACTTATCTCAGCCTTCTTGAAAGCACCCCAAACTTCCTTGGCAGCAGTAACCAAACAAGAGCTGTAAAATACTGTTTTCCCTGGTCTGGCTGAACCCACGACTCAGCAAATGTGGTGGGGAGCTCCTAAAATAGCTCTCTGTTGCCTCATCAGCCTCAGCAGCAACTTGAAAAGTCTTTTGCCTTCTGGGACAACTTGGAGAAGTTTTAAAATGTTTGGACTTATTTTGAAAGTACTGTGAAAGATAAGAATGATCTATTCCAAGGCCGTGTGAACTGAAGGTCACAGCTGAGGCATTGCTCAATAGACCCAAGTAGGTTCAGCACTAAACTTGCTCAGGAGCTGATCAGCTCATCTTCATTGCTGTGGCCACCCCTGCCTAAATTCAGGTTAAAGCTGAGTCCCTTTGACTTGGCACCTCACTAGGCCAAACAATCACAATATCAGTGTCCCAAATATCAGTGGGGCGATGCCAAGGCAGAGGGCCCGGTCCTTCCCTGGAAGAGCCTTGTTGGAGAAGCCTTGTGAAAAAAAGCAAAACAGCCCTGTTTGTGAGGGGAAGCTGTAGTTGCTGCAGGATAAGTACAC